CATATATATATATATTATATATATATATATATATATATATACATATATACATATATAATATATACATACATATATATTACATATACATGTATATCTGCATTTACATGTACAGTATATAGCGTATGTGTGTGTGTGTTGTACATGCATGTGAACATATATACATATATACATACACATATACATATACATGTACATCTGCATTTACATGTATAGTATATAAGCGTATGTGTGTGTGTGTCTGTGTGTATGGTGTGTGTGTGTGTGGTGTGGTTGTGTGTGTGTGTGTGTGGTGTGTGTGTGGTGTGTGTGTGTGTGTGTGTGTGTGGTGTGTGTGTGTTTGTACCATGTGAATGTGAATGTGTATGCGTGTATCTGCGTATCCCTGCAACCCGAGGGAGTGACTCACGCACAGGGTTCCCATGGAGCCGCAGGAGGACGAGGCCGCCGCCGACGCACGGTACTAAGGCAATCCGCACAGGCGAGGGATGAATCATGCTCAACAATTTTCCTTTTTTTTTTTTTTTTTTTTTTTTTTTTTTTTTACGAAGTCACTGTCCTCTTCTCTTTCTTTCTCTTCTGCTCCCCCCCCAACCCAACCCAACCCCCCCACCCATGTTCCTCTCCCTATTACACCACCCCTTCCACCCCACCCACAACCCACCCACGATCCCCACCCCACCCATGCCCCCCTCCCAATTACACCCCCCTTTCCACCCCACCCACAACCCCACCCACGACCCCCACCCCCTCCCCCTCCCAATCACCCACCCACCACCCCCACCCCAACCCCCCCCCTCCCAATCACCCACCCCACCCCCCACCCAGGGAAATGACGTCACAGTATGGACAATCCTTTCTTACAAGTTACTTACGAACCAGGCATGAGTCACGCCGCTTGCGCTGACTCTCACATCGATTTGTTTGTGTGTGAGAGAGAAATTCCGTAAATATAAAAAAAAAAGGAGAGAAACAGAAAATGGGGAAGGAAAAGGTAATTGGGAAATGGGAATAAGGAGAATGAGAATGGAAAGGGGGATAGAGAAATTCCGTAAATATAAAAAAAAGAAGGAGAGAAACAGAAAATGGGGAAGGAAAAGGTAATTGGGAAATGGGAATAAGGAGAATGAGAATGGAAAGGGGAATAGGGAAGCTCCGTAAATATTAAAAAAAAGGAGAGAAAGAGAAAATGGGGAAGGAAAAGGTAATTGGGAAATGGGAATAAGGAGAATGAGAATGGAAAGGGGAATAGGGAAGCTCCGTAAATATAAAAAAAAGAAGGAGAGAAACAGAAAATGGGGAAGGAAAAGGTAATTGGGAAATGGGAATAAGGAGAATGAGAATGGAAAGGGAATAGGGGGGAAGTTCCGTAAAATATAAAATAGGAGAGAAAGAGAAAATGGGGAAGGAAAAGGTAATTGGGAAATGGGAATAAGGAGAATGAGAATGGAAAGGGGAATAGGAAGCTCCCGTAATATAAAAAGAAGGAGAGAAAGAGAAAATGGGGAAGGAAAAGGTAATTGGGAAATGGGAATAAGGAGAATGAGAATGGAAAGGGGGATAGGGAAGCTCCGTAAATATGAAAGGAGAGAAACAGAAAATGGGGAAGGAAAAGGTAATTGGGAAATGGGAATAAGGAGAATGAGAATGGAAAGGGGATAAGGAAAATTCCGTAATATAAAAAAGAGAGAAACAGAAAATGGGGAAGGAAAAGGTAATTGGGAAATGGGAATAAGGAGAATGAGAATGGAAAGGGGAATAGGGAAGCTCCGTAAATATATAAAAAGAAGGAGAGAAAGAGAAACATGGGAAGGAA